CATGTAAAAGGTCGGTTTAACTATGTTAACTGAGACAGTAGGTTATTCTCTGTTAGGTAACTCATGTTAAAGGTCGGTTTAACTATGTTAACTGAGACAACAGGTTATTTTATGTTAGAATACCCATGTAAAAGGTCGGTTTAACTATGTTAACTGAAACAGTAGGTTACTCTATGTTAGATAACCCATGTAAAAGGTCAGTTTAACTATGTTAACTGAGACAGTAGGTTATTCTATGTTATATAACCAATGTAAAAGGTTGGTTTAACTATGTTAACTGAGACAGTAGGTTATTTTATGTTAGATAACCCATGTTAAAGGTTGGTTTAACTATATTAAATGAAAATGAAGGTTATTCTAACAGTGTTCATTTACCCATCTAACTATATTAACTGACAAGTTATACTTTAGAATAAGTTGTTTCAAGCTGTTGATTAATGTGAGTTTGGATTTAAAATTAAAATGTTTAATTGTCCTGTAGGTCAGTTTCCGTTTATGACATATTTAGTACTAAATACAAACGATGACGACTCCAAGCGGCTAGTTGATCAACTGCAAGATTGTTTTTCGACCTTTCAGAGCAAAGATCAACTACAACACTTAGGTAAGAATTTGTTTTTTAAACACAGATAGTTTACATTTTAAATGTTTTGTTTTTTGTGATTTCTTGGTGCCATCTTGTGTTTCGTTGTTGTACTTCCTGTGACACATGGATTAAGTTTTGCTTTGTTAACTACACAGGGTTAATTATACATTTAAACTTTTAGATTTGGTATATAGCGAAAATAACCTTCTGTTTTAACATAAGTACACCCAATATAAAGGTAAATACTACCAGTAACCTTCAGATGGGACAATTAGCCCACAAAACAACCATTTTAAGACTAAAGGTTTGGCTGTTGATGATACAGTTTCATAATTCATGAACTACTCATGCTGAACTTGTATTAACCATGAACGGTTTCTATAATGGCAAGTTTTATCAACGTATAAAAGTTGTTGCTTTGGGTGTTAAGAGAGCCTTCTTATACTTCATTATTTGATATATAGAAAATTAATTTTTTCCATCTGTCAAGGAACATTTCCAACTTTTCATAAACATTATACTGATTTCATTGTTGGTGCGGCTAACACGCCCTTATGTGATTTAAAGAAGTTTTTTACAATTTGTTCCCCATTTCCACATCGCGCTTACCATCCTATGGACAGTTTTCTCAACGACTTTACCTTTTTCAGATATTCACATTTCCATTGGAGACCATCGTTTATCTGCATCTACAACTCTTCTCATCCGCTCCATATACTCCAGTTGCTAATACTGTGCTGGAAAATGATCACGAGTCAAAATCTTAAGAAATGAATGAATTCTTTCTCAATTGCTACTACCCTAAATCTCTACATCTTTAGCATAAGAAGGCCACCCAATACACCAATTATTTAACCCGAGAATACACCCTACAGTCTTAACCTAAGTGTACAAATGGTCAAATATCACCTATGTTTACTTACCACTAAAGTTGCCCAGACTGAATTCAATATCCTTTCTAAATGTTTATAGATGGTTTATTGAGACATGATAAAAATAAAACTACACATCCATATATATGACCCTCCATATGTCAACACTACAACATCTATACCAATATGTTAACACCACATCTATATATGACTCCCCATATGTTAATACTATAACATCTATACCAATATGTTAACACCACATCTATATATGACTCCCCATATGTTAATACTATAACATCTATACCAATATGTTAACACTACACATCCATATATAATCCCCATATGTTAACAGTACAACATCTATACCAGTATGCTAACACTACAACATCTATACCAGTATGCTAACACTACAACGTCTATACCAATATGTTAATACTACACATTTATATATGACCCCACCTCCTAATATGTTAACACTACAACATCTATACCAGTATGCTAACACTACAACGTCTATACCAATATGTTAATACTACACATTTATATGTGACCCCCCCTCCTAATATGTTAACTCTACACCATCTATTCCAGTATCAAACAGGCGGTAGCACTTCCTATGTAGGGATGGCTCGAATTGTTCATTGAAATGTTATTTTAAATATCTCCTCAATAGGCCATCACAACTTCACAATACTATATAGTGTTTCCTTTCATAACAACATCTATGTAATGACTGAGTCACAAGTTCTAAGAATGTCTGTAAATATCATAGCAAAAAGTTTAAATTTCTTGTTGTTATTTCTTCTGCTTCTTTTTTATTACATGATAACTCAAAAAACAAAACAATGGTGTCAACAACTTCCCCTGAGGTGACATAGTTTAAAACTGAGTATCTGCTTTTATAAGTATTATTAATAACTAGTAGTAATTAAAAATAATTCTAGTGTAAACGATGTTATCATTACCTCTTGAAGTACGTTTTACAGAAATTTAGTGTTTCTTTAAATAGGAATTACAAGCCAATAATAGATAATCAATAATTATTACAGTTAGAAGCTCACTGTATTTAGAACTTAGTTATAAATACAACCTTTCTAGATCTATTAAAATACATAAAAAATACATCTTTCCCTTTTTCTTTCTTTTGTTATTAAATCCCTAAAGACCTCATTAAGTGCTAATTTCATACCATGCATTGTGGAAGGTAATACAGTAATTCACTCATTCAATTGATTCATCACTCGTGCCTTTAAAAGTCTAATTAAAAGGGAAAATGTGCCCTATTTCAGGGTGTTGTTGGATGGTGTATATTATACATGTACCTACATTACCTAGGTACCTTGTTGATGGTATTTATTATACATGTACATACATTACCTAGTTACGTTATTGGATAGTGTTTATTATACATGCACATACATTACCTATGTACCTTGTTGGATGGTGTTTATTATACATGTACATACATTACCTAGGTACGTTATTGGATAGTGTTTATTATACATGCACATACATTACCTATTTACGTTGTTGGATGGTGTTTATTATACATGTACATACATTACCTAGGTACGTTGTTGGATGTTGTGTATTGTACATGTACATACATTACCTAGGTACGTCGTTGGATGGTGTTTATTATATATGTACATACATTACCTTGGTGCGTTGTTGGATTGTGTTTATTATACATGTACATACATTACCTAGGAACGTTGTTGGATGGTGTTTATTATACATGTACATAAATTACCTAGGTACGTTGTTGGATGTTTATTATACATGCACATACATTACCTAGGTACGTTGTTGGATGGTGTTTATTTTACACGTGCATACATTGCCTAGGCACATTGCTGGATGGTGTTTATTATATTTGTACATTCATTACCTAGGTACCTTGTTGATGGTGTTTATTATACATGTACATACATTACCTATGTACGTTGTTGGATGTTGTGTATTGTACATGTACATACATTACCTAGGTACGTTGTTGGATGTTGTGTATTGTACATGTACATACATTACCTAGGTACGTCGTTGGATGGTGTTT